AAAAAAAAAAAAAAAAAATAGCATGAAGAACTGATTTAAATAATGCTGCGGTTAACAGTAGCATATATAAACTAAACTAAACCAAAACCAAAACCAAAACTAAAACTTTAAAAAAAAATAAAACTATTTCCACAGTTCTAGAGTAAAGGCTGGGATGCTGTACAGCTGAAGCCCGGATGCATGTTTCTCCGCGGCCGTTGATTTGGCGGCACTCGTAAACTCACACATCACACAGCGTCACGTCACCGCTACAATTTAGCACTAAGATCTGCTAGCGCTGCCAAAACTGCACGGCTGCCATCTTCACTTCCACATCTCTCTCTCTGTGTGTTTCGCTGGAGGTAAAAACAGACGCTCTTAGCACCCTGTCAGATTCAGGCTAAACGCTACGCTAAAGAACTCTCACACACACTCATTCGCAGGTGTTTGAAAGTGAGAGGAGATCATATGATCTGTCACAGTGCGTTTCTCGCTGCTTTTCCCCACAAAATATAATAATTCTCCATCAGAGAGATACTATAGTGAATATAATCTGCTTCTTATTACACTTCTTAGTGAAAACACATTAAGAAACCAGTGGCACTCATTTATTTAGTTTAGTTTCCCTCATGTTGTTCCAAACCTGTATGTGTATGTGGTTAATTTATTTGTCGAAAACAAAGACAGACCAGGAATACTTTCCAATAATGTTACAATTGTTAACATTAGTTAATCAATACTTTTGCAGCATTTATTAATCTTAGTTCATATTAATTAGACATTTACTAATTTATTAAGCCTATTAAAGGGGTCATATTATGCCTTTTTGTTTCTTTAGTGTGTGTAATGTTGTTTTCAGATTATAACTTGATATTAGTGTGATGCTATTATTATCCAAGTGCTTTGCCAAAAGGAAAAGCGGCATGTTTCTTGCTCCTTTGACTTCCATGTGTTTTAGTGGACACACGATTTGTGTGTGTAGTGTCTCTTTGAAGTGTATTTGCGGTCTGATAATTAGGACTCATCTGATAAAGCGCTCGATCGCCTCTTAACAGCGTCTGCATCTGAGCAGAAAGGAACAGCTCAATTGGCTTCAACAGAAGACACACAATACACTAATAACAGTTACAAGATACCAAATCCATCCACTAATTAGAGCGAGATGATTGATATATCAGGACAAGGTTGTTTTTGATCCTCTGACTAACGCGAGTCTGTGTAAAGCATCTCTGTAAGTGGCAGCGATGACGTCACTTCTAATTACTCGCGAAATTATTCACGCAATCAGACGAACGCAGGAAATGAAGTTTGGACCGAAGTGGCCACACACTTATTAATAAAGAGCGGAGCGAACGAGAAACACACAGATGGAAGGATGATGGCGGTAAACAAGGCTTCAAGCTGGATGTTTACCGAAAAAATGACAAATCATGATCCTGATTTCACATTTTTGGAAAGGAGAGAAGAGAAAGATTGGGTTATATATGAACACACAATAAGAGAATAATCAAAATAATATTGTTGAAATGAGAAAGTCCTTGTCAGTGTTTGAGCTTATAGTGTATCTACAGCATTGCCTTATGGAGATTTGGCAAATTAAACATGGAATTTGATGTCATTTCTGGGAAAAAGCATCACTACATCAATAATACACAACCAATAATATGATATTTTTAAATGTTTATAATTATATACAGAATACTAGTGTTCCCATGATGACAGAAAACCGAGGAATGATCAGGAAACTTGACAATACTGGGGATTTCCAGAGGAGAAAAACTATTGCAGTGATTTGCAAAATGCAAAAACAAAACAACAATACAATAATTAGTAACTATCGTATTATTTGTCACTACTAACTGTTTGGCTTTTTTTACTAATAGACACCTTCTGTTCGGATCATTCATTACTCACAGATTTACAGCCATTTTAAGCTCATTGTGATTCAGATCTCAACACTTGTGAGTATGTGTGGGTGGGGTTTTCTAATTCATATTACCCACACTCATACACACACACTCTCTCTCTCACACACACACACACACACACAGACAAACACTCACGCAAACTCACTCTCACACACACACACAAACACACTCTGATGCACACACACTCTCACACTGTCACGCACACACACACTCTCACACGCTCCCACGCACTCACAATCTGACGCACACTCACTTACTCACTCCCACGCACACACTCTCACGCACACACACTCACTCTCTCTCATGCACACTCACTCCCACGCACACACTCTCACGCACACACACTCACTCACTCACTCTCACGCACTCCCATGCACTCTCATACACGCACACTCCCACTCACTCACAAACACTCACACAAACTCACTCTCACACACACACACAAACACACTCTGATGCACACACACTCTCACACTCTCACGCACACACACACTCTCACACACTCCCACGCACTCACAATCTGACGCACACTCACTTACTCACTCCCACGCACACACTCTCACGCACACACACTCACTCTCTCTCTCTCATGCACACTCACTCCCACGCACACACACTCACGCACACACACTCACTCTCTCTCATGCACACTCACTCCCACGCACACACTCTCACGCACACACACTCACTCTCTCTCATGCACACTCACTCCCACGCACACACTCTCACGCACACACACTCACTCACTCACTCTCACGCACTCCCATGCACTCTCATACACGCACACTCCCACGCACGCACACTCCCACTCACTCACACTCTAACGCACAAACACTCTCACGCACAAACACTCTCACGCACAGACTCTCACGCACACACACTCTCACCCACACTCTCAACTCTCACGCAAACACTCACTCACACGCACACTCTCACACGCACACACACTCACACAAACTCACTCTCACACACACACACACAAACACACTCTGATGCACACACACACTCTCACACACTCCCACGCACGCACACTCCCACTCACTCACACTCACACAAACTCACTCTCACACACACACACAAACACACTCTGATGCACACACACTCTCACACTCTCACGCACACACACACTCTCACACACTCCCACGCACTCACAATCTGACGCACACTCACTTACTCACTCCCACGCACACACACTCACTCTCTCTCATGCACACTCACTCCCACGCACACACTCTCACGCACACACACTCACTCACTCTCACGCACTCCCATGCACTCTCATACACGCACACTCCCACGCACGCACACTCCCACTCACTCACACTCTAACGCACAAACACTCTCACGCACAGACTCTCACGCACAGACTCTCACGCACACACACTCTCACCCACACTCTCAACTCTCACGCAAACACTCACTCACACGCACACTCTCACACGCACACACACTCATGCACACTCAATCTCATGCACACTCCCTCTCACTCTCACACGCACACATTCAATCTCACGCACGTTCAATCTCACGCACACTCAATCTCACGCACACTCACTCACTCTCACACACGCTTACTCTCACGAGCACACATTCACTCTCACATGCACTCACTCTCACACGCACTCACTCTCACACACGCTCACTCACTCTCTCTCACACACACTCTCACTCCCACTCACGTGCACACATTCACTCTCACTCCCACTCACTCTCACGTGCACTCACTCTCATGCGCACTCACTCCCACGCGCACACACTCACTTTCATGCACACACTCACATGCACTCACTCTCACGTGCACTCTCTCACTCTCACGTGCACTCACTCCCACTCACGCATTCTCACTCTCATGCGCACTCACTCACTCTCACGCGCACACACTCTCACGCACACACTCTCTCACGCGCACACACTCACTTTCACGCACATTCACTCACTCTCACGCACACACACTCTCATGCACGCTCATTCACATGCACGCTCACTCACACGCACACTGACTCACTCACTCTCACGCAAACACACTCCCTCTCACGCTCACTCACGCACGCACTCTCACACGCACAATCCCTCACTCACTTTCAAGCACACTTATTCTCACATACACTCTCGCTCTCTCGCTCACTCACTCACTATTAATGAACACTACAGGTGCTCGTCTGTACCTGAACTCCTGTTTGGTGCGCACCTGAGAAAGACAGAGCGATGCATGTGTGCGAGAGTGTGTTTTAATTGTCTCTGAGTGAAGCCGTGGCCTCACATTACTTGATTATGCTTTAATTACACATACTATTGTTCTGTAATTGCTTTCAAAGAAACAATAGGAATCAAAAAGGCAATGAAATGAGCAGGTAACGAAGCTCAGGTCAGTAAATATGAAAATTAATGACCTGTTCAGGAGTAACACACACCTGCTGGATCCTCAGCATTATAGCGAACAGGTGCAGACAGCCTGAACAGCATCACACACACGCATTACACCAGTGTGCGAAAGTGTGTCTGTGACGAATGACATGCATTCAAGAAGATCTATTAGTATAGATATTGGAAAGAGTAAAACGCAACCAGTAAATTCTATCTGAGAAAGAGAATATTTTTACCTGGATGGAATTAAACCATTTTGTCTTTTGGCTCTACAATACTTGGATAATTTAAACAAAATATAAAAATATGTGATACCCCCCAAAAAATGCAAACAAATACAGTAGAAATTGTAAAATATTATTAAGATTCAAAATAATTATTTTCAATGTAAATATATTATATACTGTGTTTCTTCCTGATTTGATGCTTAAGAAACTTATTATTATTACTGTTGAAAACAGTTCATACTTTTGTGGAAACTGATGCATTTTATATTTTAAGAATTCTTTGATGAATAAAGTTCAAAAGAACAGCATTTATTTGCAAAGGAAATCCAAAAATATGACAAAAATGTAAGAAAGAAAAAAAAACATACATATGAAATTGACATTACATATTTGATATCATTTAATTAAAATCATTTTATTTTATATATAAAGATAGAATAATAAATAAATTTAAGGAAAGAAAAAAATACATACATTTTGTTCCCCTCACGTCCTTTGTTGGATTTATAGGGAAAGGATCAGGTCTCCAACCTGGATTTACACACAAAAGAATATGACGAATATGAGTATGAAAAAGAACATAAGATTGACTTACCAACACAAAATGCTGGTGTTAATTAAAATACTGACAATAGATGTAAATAATGCATAAAGAATGAATAAATGATGTTTTCATGCGCACTGATGGACTGGTGCGGTTTTCCCAGATGTCGAGACATTAAGCGTCTCTCTGGAACTGGAGATCTGCTCGTGTTTTTCCCTGTACGGATGACAACTGGACAAATCCAAATACAAGCAGGTTTATTTCATCATTCACAGGGCTGACAGCATTTCACACACACAAACACACTGTATGTTATGTTCAACTGAAATGTTCATTTGACTGACATCGTTTTTGGATGAGAGATCCATTATGTGGAATGTCTAAAACGACTTCATCACAGCATCTCGATCGGTCTCTCTCTCTGTATCTGTCTCTCTCGCAGGTTTTCCTGCGGGCCAAATGAAATTAGTAGTGTGCTGAGTAGTTTTGTGTGTGTATTTTGTGTGCGGTCCGTCAGAAGTGCTTTGCTGCCTGATTACCTCTCAGCCCGACGGCAGCACTGCAGGCGACGCCAGAGACGAGGCACCTGGACCCCTGAACACCCCAAACACACTCCTGCCAGAGCACAGCTGCTCAAACCTCTGAACCACACTACACACACACACACACGCGTGCATGCATACACACCCTCACACACTCGCGCTCACATACACACTCACATGCGCACAAACGCACACACTCACACAAACTCACTCTCTCACACACACACACACGCAAAAAAAATCTCTCTCACACATTATCTCTCTCTCACACACACACACTCACGCGCACACACGCTCACATACATACACTGGCGTGCACCCACACACTCTCTCACACACAAACTAACAATACACATGCTTACATACACACTTACATTCTCACACACAAACTCTCTCACACACATTCTCTCTCTCTCTCACACACACACGCACATTCACAAACACACACTCACATGCTAACACACACCAAACGCTCACATACTCACTCTCTCACACACACACCACCTCCTACCCTTCACTGACACTTTTCTAAAACGTACAGTATGAAACTCATTTGAGATCAATGTAGATCTGATGACTCTTTAACGATAACCATATTTGACACTAAACAAATTAAATGATGTATTATTATTTGGTGTAATATTATATATATTTATTTATAAATATATACATTTAAAATATGCATATTATCTGTACATGTGTATCAAAAAACCTCTGTAAATGTTTTTTGTGTCTGTGTATGCATGAATATATATATATTTTTTTTATTTATTATATTATTATTTCATGTTTTATCATATATTATAATATTATAAATAATAATAATTACAAAACTATTAAACAATTTTTTTTTCAGATTTCATTTACATGCGCAATTAGATGCGTACACAGGCATGAAACATGTTCTAAATGCATGCATTTTTTTTTTTTTTTTTGCTTTATTATTAAATACAAACATCTATGCATACATTATTTTTTGTAAGGGGTGAGTTATCGTCGCATCACCCAAGTGGATTTTGTTTGTACAGTAGTAAATATGAAAGCGCTATATAAATACATCATTCATTCATTGTTATTTTTGTTTTTATTATTAAATGATTATATTATCGTCATTTATTTTTTCCCCTAATAATATTACTTTGCATTGTTGTTCCACTGAAGTCAGGTCTCTGACTTCAGCAGAATGACTGTACACACACAGACACACACACACGTCTTCGGCCCAGTCTGCAGATGTCAGGACAGCAGATGCAGCAAATTCGGTGTCTGTCTACAGCTGTAGTAGCTCACCCTGTGGGACCCGTCTGCACACACACACACACACACACACACACTACCTGGTGCTGTCTGGGCTCAACCTGTGCTCACACACGGGTTCTGCCGTCTGGTGGGCCACAGGTGAAACGGAGACGAGAATTGAGCATCAGCTCGTTTAATTGCGTCCAACACTTCATAAATCTTTCATCCGCGTTCCTGCTTTTGAAAGCCGTGGCACTTCTTAAACACGACGTTTCAGGTTTCTGAAGCTGATTTATCCCGAGCTTGTGGATACAGGAGCTAAAAGACAGAGAGTAAGAGAGTAAAGCTGTAGATTACAGAAGAGGAGATGATGTTTGGTGTGAACGAGGAGTTGGTGTACAGAACGCGCTCTAGTTTTAGCAGCACAACAGATGGTGAAGTTCTCCGAAGGCCAGAGGTTGAACGGCACAGATCTGACAAACATTCACATGCACACGAACACAGACAAAGAGAGGCACGATAAATGCATTTATTTTTTATGGTAAATCTGGGGACGTCCTCATTTGAGAAGGAAAAAAAAAGATCTGTAAATTGTAAAAATGCTTAGTCTGAAGTCATAATTAGCTTTATGATATAATATGATACATCTGTCATACATCCTCATTTAAATGCATGTCTTCATACTAGCATATGAATACATGCTTGTGGTTTTTAGCAGTTTTTTTTTATTCCAGTATGGGATACTTCAATACTAATTTTGATAAAAACGAACATTCAGATCTGTGTTCTGATCCTGAGAGAGCCGGTGTCATGTGTAGATATGAAACAACAGCCTTTTCAACCACAGTTTCATTATTTCTGTCTTAAAATCATTCATATGATCACAGAAGCACTGGAATAAAATATTATAGTTCAGATATAAACAGAGATGTGTACGGTAGTGATCAAAATAGAGTAAATCACCTTTCCGAAGAATTTATGAGCGAGTCATTGAATCATTCACTCAAACCGGATTCTATATTTTTCTTTAGTTGTCTGTTTAAAATCGTGGGAGATTTTAAACCAAAATTGTGATTTGGTTTATATACTACTGTATGTACTATGCAGCACACATTTTATTTGTAACAAAAAAAAAAAATAATAGTATCAATGATATATTTTAGTTTCTTATAAATAGTTTGAATAATTGAGTAATTTCGTTGTATTTTTGTCATTCTCAGTTTTTTAATGTCTATCTATATAGGTTTTAATTTATATTTCATTTTTAGTTACTTTCGTACATTAACTTGGCAAACTATTTTACTCCAGCTGTTTATTTTTCGAAGTAGCAAGTAAATATCACCATTTTACAAGAAAAATACAATAAATAATTCGATTTTAGATGTTAGTTGCCATTTTTTTGTAATTATTTGTCAAATTTACTAGCACATTCTCAGTGATCACTTAATTCAAATCATGAGAGAATCATGCTCTTTATTTAAAACCAAAATTATGATATGGTTTATATATGTACTATTAATTGATGTTACTAGTATGTTGTTTGAGTGTTTGGGTTATTGGGCATGACCGCTTTTTTGCAAAGCGAAATCATATTTAAATAGAAATATATGAGTTTGTTTGAAACAAGGTTTTTATACTCAAATATGATTTAGCTTTGCAAAAAAAAAAAAAGGGTCAAAGGCCCAATAACCCAAACACTCAAATAACATATTAGTAACATTAACTAATTAAGCCAAGTATAAGAGCCCAAACCAGGCAGCCAGGCAGAACCAAATCCTCCCTGACCTGGAAAAGCGGGATACTGGAATCTCTCGCTCACTCACACACACACACACACACAAAACAGCGCCTGAACAACATCCATCTGCTCCAGGAGAAACCGCTCTGGGGGAGAGAGAGAGACAGAGGAAAAAAAAACATTGTACACAGACAGTTTTTGTTGTGTTGGGTTATTCGGTACGCCGAACTTCTTGTCTAAAAATCGCGTTTGGTTTTATTTGCAAACGTGTTTTAGGTCAGTAAAGACCTAAAGTCACCGCACACATTCCAACCATAGCGACGCAACGATTGCTATTTCCATAGCGATGAAACACTCGACAGCCAATGGGAGCGCGGGGTGTCGGATTGCGCACCAGAAGGCTCTAGAAGCTTTAGGAGGGATTCAGACCATTAATTGAATATTAATGCAACCTCAGCGCTGACACTGGTGTGATTAGACTAATTGATCAGCTCACCGTGCCAAGATGTCAGCCGCCCGCATCCCACAATCCTTCATTTCCAGGGCCTTTTCATATTTGCATGATTTCCTCTCATCTCACAGATGCTTGTTTAAATATTTGTGCGCCTGATGTTATTTAAAAGTAATGAGACGAGTATTATGGAGAACACAGGGTTAGGTGATCCCGGTGTTCTCCGTGAGTCTCTTTCAGCCAATAATGATGGACCGTTTGGTCACGCCCATGTCGCATTTCACCCTAAAATCGAGATTTGTTTGCAAGATGTAGGAAGATGTACTTAAAGTGACCAAAATTACTTTCAAAACAACAAAAATGAACAAAAACACACCATAAAAAGTTGTAATTTCATGAATTATGTGAAGAACACTCACATTTAAGTGGTTATTCACTGATAATCTTCCCCTATGACCTCTGAACTACTTTTACAGTGTTTATTGGTGCGACTTTAGATGCTTTGATGTGATGTGGCAACGGAGAGAGTTTGTGTTCAATGCGTTTTCTGCACTTTTGACATCTGCAATAAATAATTAGGCCTAAACAAACATTTGACAGCATAACTAAATGATTTTAAAACATAATCTTCAGTAAACTAGTCAAGTCAAATTTATTTGTAAAGCTCTTTTCATAGCACACATTGTTTCAAAGAAGCAGAAATCATGATGTTAATTATTATATCATATTAAAATCTTCATGCCGTATAGTTGTATTTAGCAGATAAACAAACAGTTGCGATTGTGATATATAATTGACTAGACTTGACAACTAATAGTTACAAAACGCAACTATCAGAGCAGATTAAACCGTTAAAACTCTTATATTATCATTTTTGTTATGCTTTTACGTATTTTACATTTGTAAAAGGTTTTTGTGTGAATCCCATTCCTTCAAAGATCAAAAATATTGTAATAAATAGATTTAATTAAATAAATTATCAAATTTATTTGGTGACACTATTTTACAATGTCCTTGTTGCATGCAGTTACAAATTATGCATAATCTAATTCAACTAATCCCAATCCAAACCCTAACTCTATATAAGTACATTTAGTTAATTATAATTACTCAGTATTTAAATATAGAATTACACTGTAACTAAGACACCTTAAAATAAAGTGGAACTGTTTATTTTAAGGTGTCAACGTAACACTGTATTTTTATATTTAAGTATTGATTAATATTAAGAAACTACACGTACGTAGTATAGAGTTAGAGTTGGATTAGTGTTAGTTGCATGTAATTATGAACAATTTAGTAATTAGAGTAACTACATGTAACAGGGACACAGTAAAATAAAGTGTTACCCAAATAAAGTGTAACCATTTATTTTAATATTTTAGTTTAGCATAAACTGAAGGAAGAACAATAAATAATCATCATTCACAATTTGAATCAAAAATGTGCTTAATTGTCATAAAAATAACGTCACAGTTCAAAAAAAGCAGAATTCAGCAGAATAGAGCTTCTTATTTCCTTTTGATTTTAGGGTGAAATGACGGCTTTTGGGGACGTTCCCTAACAAAGATGATGGGAAAAGCATGAAATGCAGGACAGTTTCACGTCTCCTAGCTTGTTGTTTCATGGGGTCATGGAATAATCCATCTAAAATAAGGTACGGCACGACGCATATGCATCAGTGTGAAACTCATCGACTTCACAACAGGGATGAGGAGGAGTGTGTCCTGATGAAGCTCTCTCTCACACACACACACACACACACACACACACAGCTCTGCTTAAAGAGAATTCTAGAAGACCTACAGGAAACAGACACCATTTGGCGTTTATGCAAATTTGCGAACAAAATGGCTGCCTGCCAATTCCTGTCAGTTTGAACAAAGCTCGCCTCGCTGGCAGGGACTGAACATTAAGGTGGTCCGGATCCAATGCCATTCGGGAAGGAGGACCGAAGCGAACGTTCCTCCTTAAACAAGCGGGTTGAAGTCTAAATTGGGGGATCCATGAAGTTGTGATCTATTGTGTTCTTTGGGCAGAGGCTCTAATGCCGCTCACTGTCTGTTGTCCGCTCCTATAGGGCCGCGAGTTGTCATAGCAGCCGTTGAGTCGGTGCCAAAACTGGGTCTCGTTAAGACCGGAGCTGTTCGTTATTCAAGCTTTCCACTGAGGTCCTTAATTAAGAATGTGACAGGAAGACATCAATGTTAGTTTTGACAGCAAAAACAGACGAATGTTCATCCCATACAGACCATTTGTACAACATCCTCTGAGCTTTATTAGTTGTGTTTGCCAGTACTTGTGCTCATCACCTCCAACACCAACTATTAAACTCATATAGACATTAAACACCCTAGCAACCTGTGCGACTACAACTCAGAACACCTTAGAAACTGCATAGCAACACCCTGACAACCACTAATAACACCCTATATAGCAACCTTTGAACTTCTCAGAACACCTTAAAAAACAGTCTAGCAACATCCTGGCAACCACCCAGAACACCCTAGAAACCTGTGAATAACTATTCAGAATATCTTAGAAACTGCCTAGGTACATCCTGGCAACCACCCAGAACACCCTAGCAACCTGCAAACAACTACTCAGAACACCTTAAAAACTGCCTAGCTACTTCCTGGCAACCACCCAGAACACCAACCTGCAAACAACTACTCAGAATCCCTTAGAAATTGTCTAGCAACATTCATAGCAACCACTCAGAACACCCTAGCAACCTGCAAACAACTACTCAGAAAACCTTAAAAACTGCCTAGCTACATCCTGGCAACGACCCAGAACACCCTAGCAACCTGCAAACAACAACTCAGAACACGTTTGAAACAGCCTACATCCTGGCAACCACCCAGAACACTCTAGAAACCTGTGAATAACTATTCAGAATACCTTAGAAACTGCCTAGCTACATCCTGGCAACCACCCAGAACACCCTAGAAACCTGTGAATAACTATTCAGAATATCTTAGAAACTGCCTAGAAACAGTACATCCTGGCAACCACCCAGAACACCCTAGAAACCTGTGAATAACTATTCAGAATACCTTAGAAACTGCCTAGGTACATCCTGGCAACCACCCAGAACACCCTAGCAACCTGCAAACAACTACTCAG